TAAAAAAACAAGGGGGTATTAGTGTTGTCCTATAAAATTATTTATTCATATATCTGTACTCATAAAGTAATATATTTGTGTGAAATGTACTATCATATTTGTCAATTAATTTTATTCTAAGAAAGAAACAATAGATTTATGGTAGCTGAAATAGGTTTAAAAATGCTTTAGATACAAAATTTTATTTAAATATCTATAAAAAAAACTCAGTCAAGCGATGTTTCGTACTTCCTCGTGCTTTCATTTGGATCATTTGACATAGTTAAATTGAATTTTGATTTTAAGAAAATCAACTAAAGACATTGATTTGTCTTTTGAAAAATCACCTTTAAACTTCCCACTTAAAATCACAATTAATTTGTTCAGAAGACCCGATCCGGCTTTATGAATTCGGGTTGTAATTTAACAATATTCAATTCTATCCATGAATTAATTTAAGCAAATGGATAGATGGATAGTAAGACAGGTAATTGATTGGGAAGAGAGAAATCTAGGTCAAAACCTTTAAAAAGGGATTTAATCAGAAGATTTATATCACATTAGCTAGCTCTTTTATCATTGTAAGGCAATTTTGTACAAATATATCCGGTGCTGCTGCAAGGTAAGTCTTCTGAATTATATTTTGTTTTCTTGTATTTAAATTATTTAATGTAACTTTTTCTTAATACCTGTATACTTAATTTTGTTATTTTAAATTTTTAATTTTCTTTTTAGACTCAAAGTATATTTAAATAATGTGATTAACAGAACTATTTGTTCATTGCTAGTCTGATTCGCTTACAAAAATAGATTTTTATTCTTAAATTCATTGCAACATTGCTAATGATAATTGTACTATTTACTTAGTTCTTTTAAAATTTGTCCTTTTTCTACATTTTGTTTAATTATAGTGTAGGATTTCTCTCTCTCTCTCTAAGCCTATTTTTTTAAAAAATATATTACATGTTTCATTTTCATGCTTTGACTGCGATCATTTTCGTAGAAAGAGGTGATAAAGGGGGGGGGGCGCCCCACCCCACTTAAATCGAAGCTAGGAAATTTACTTTTACGGCGTATTGGTAGAGGGATAAACTACCACTTTTCAGAATGGTGGGGGTGGAGGGGAAACGTTCTTCCTTTTCTTTTTAGTGCTGTGGACGACCTTGTACGAGCAGGATTTCCGATTCGAGACGACAGAAAAAGCCGAAGAAGCGTTACATACCCGAACGTGAAGTTCATTCAAGTTCTCTCTTCGGCAAAACGTGCCAATAGAAGTTATCACTTCAAAAATGCTATGTATCATTTAATAACTTCAGTTGGTTTTTCTTCTGTCTTAAAATATTCATATATTCACCTCACTCTGAGACAAAAACTAAACATGACGTAATAGAAAATATGAGATGAGGAATCACCCATGGATGTAGTTGTTCTATATCTACGATATGTAACACATTTATGAAATTTCTTTCTTACAATATTATTAACATCCATAATTCAACATATGCTTATTTCATAATACCAAATAATAAATGACACCCAGCATGTAACTGAATAAAGGAAACAAACTTACAATTAAATGACTAATCTTGCAATATTAATGTGCGCATCATTCTCTGTTTCCTTACTTTTCTACAAGTATTTAAAAAATATTGAGTCCCATATGTATATAGGGTGTTTTCATAGGTTGAAAGTTTGTATGATGCCATTTAATGTATAAATATAGAAAAAGTTTAGATGTAACAATTGCATGAAACCTATTACAGCGATATCTTGTACAGCTTAGGTTCAAAAATATTTAAAACAAATAAAACGGTGAGAATGAATTGTATATACATGCATATATTCATGAATCAAATATATAGAAACACAAAAAAACATGAAATAATAAATAATAGGAAGAACATAATTCAATAACCACTAAACAACATAATAAATATATGAAAAGAAGAAAAGTAACACACAATTCAGCAAATATTGAAAAAGAAACCCAGTGAGTCGAAAAGCACAATTTCGGACTTATTACCAAATACGTTGGGTTAAACTAGTTTTATGTACCAACTTTATCCTCTTTTTGATACTCGGAAGGTAAAAAAAAATAAATAAAGCATGGAAAATAAACCGAAACTGTAAAAGAGCATATTGACTAAAAACTCCTAGATAATTAAATAAGAAGCCAACCTATTTCAGTTCTGCAAACCAGCACAAAGTCTTAGAGAAGAACTTGAAAAGTTCGATTCGCAGCATTTCCCAAGAAAATGAAGAAGCTTGAAATGAATGTGAAGCTATTATCATTAATGTAAACACCTAAATTATATATAGAGAGAAACTCATCATCTATACTAACATGGCAAAATAGATATAATAAAACTTGGTAGGTTATAATTTGGTTCGTTGTCAAAATGCAGAAGTTTGTTAATATGTAAGTTGCTTAAGAATGTGTGAAAAAAGTCTAAGCCGTGAGAAAAGTGTTTTTAACCTTCGCAGCAAGACCACTAACAAGATAACCTTGCGATCCTACTGTTCTGTGTTGGTTTTTGAATCAAAAATTGCAAAATGAATAATGCATTTATAATGTATGCCGAAGAGCTAAAACATTATGAACACCTACTCAATAACACGTTACACATTTTTTGCCTACAAAACAGCTGCAACTCGCCTTACCATGGATACCAAAAATTCTTAGTAGATAATTGGAGACAGGTTGAATCATTTGTCTAAGAAACGGTCGCGTAAAGTGAAGATATTCCAAAATGAAGATATTTGATCTCTGAGATGTATTTCCAAGGAAACCCAAATGTGCCGCATCAGATTAAAATCCGTCGTGTTTAGTGGTCAAGATAATAACTGGAATTCATCTGTATGCTCCTCGAACCCTTCTCAACTTTTGACATAGTACGTGGTCTTGCTGGAAGAGAGAGAGAGATCCCATATAAAAATAAAAACATGAAAGATTCATTCTTATATGGTGTGTGGGAAAACAGACACCATATAAGAATGAAAGTGGTCCTCATTTATGCTCATATAGTTTTCTACTTTCACGATTCCTTCTACCAGAACTAAGGGTCCCAGAGTCACCCATGAGAATGTTCTCCAAGGCATAATAGCGCCATCACCAATTTGTGTACATGGAGGGAGCAACTGTTCGACTGCGGAAAACAGCACACCCTAACACAACCATCGATATGATGAATGAGAAATGGGGATTCATCCGACCAGCAAACTCTCTACCACTTATTTATAGTCAAGTCTCAATGTTTCTACTTCAGGCATAGTTGGCATGGACTCTTGGTCAGTAGATGCCCGGGAGTGAGACATCTTCCGAGCAATTCTATATCCAACAGTTTTCGGTGAGCTATATATACAGAAATACTTGTACTTTGAACTGCATCGTCTTGAGCTGTCAACTGACACACTGTCTGGCGTCAATTTTGATTTACTAAGCAGAACAATTTTCAACGTCATTTTTTTTTCTTTTGATCATATGTAGACGTCCCACAACTAGGTGTCTACTTCTGATTTCACAGTTATTTATTCAATTTGCACAAACACTAAAAAAAGTAGAACATGAACAACCATACAGCCATACTGTTTCGGAGATACTTGATCCTATTCTTTGGGCCATTACAATCTGACATCCTTCCTATTCACTTAGACCTGTCACCTTTCCCTTCATTCTGAATAGTAAGCGCAAGAATGATAAATTACCTTTTCCAACAGCCGTAAGATACCCTTCTCTTATCATCATACGGATTCCACGTCATCCGGACGAGTTCATTAAAAAATGTGGAGGTGTTCGTAATGTTTCGGCTCAAGGCGCTGTATATATGCCCTTAAGAAGTTTATGGGCTAGTCACATCTAAATATTAATGGAAGAACTTCTTAATATTGTTGACTTTATCTATTTCGTGCGAAGTTAAGTTACAATTTCAAACTAAAAAAAAACTCCAAATAATATTTCTGTAAATTGATATATGCAAATTTGTGTTCTACACAGGGATTTTAATTATAAGAAATTTATAAGAATTTATTTTGTGTGTGCCATACATATTATTAACTTTTATTGTTAATTAGATGCAAGATCAAATCCATTAACTCAATCATTCATTCGACATTTCTATATGCATACAAACGTACATGCATATTATATATATATATATATATATATATATATACGTTTTTATTTTTTTCTGCTTTTTAGTATTGAAATTTGAAACTTTCGAACTATTATTTTACAGTGTTTAGATATAAACATAAAATTTACTATACCCACAGCTTTTTATTCATGCAGTATAACTATTTACTTATTTTGTATTAAAAATGTAATGATGTTAATTCAAATATACAATGTTTTTGTATTTCTGAAATAAACTCGCATTCCTAAATTATGTAGTACACCTACGTTAAATATTAACACGAAGGGGAATGTGATGATTCGTTCCACTAATCCATTTGCAAAGTGCTAAGCCCATAAAGTAAATTAAATGGGAAAGGAAATGCTTATTTCTTAATGGACTGGAAAGCGTTTAATTAGATGTAACATGTAAACAAGTTAATATGATAGATACTTCGGTTCCTTGTGTTCTTGGGATATTGGATGTTGCATCTTATATATTCATTTTTTTAAAAAAATTACATCATCGCGTTTTACTGAATTTTAAGCTTATATAAACCTGCATAAAATGCTTAGAGACATAGAACACATTGTTTCATAATTTCTAACAAGAAATGTAAAAAAAAAAAAAAGATTAAGTATAAATTCCTACTTGGGTCACAACAATGAAAATTTTTGTTTTAGTTACTTTTTATTAAATTGTGTGTGTTGAAAGTAATAGTATAAATACGTATATACATATGACAGATTCACAATATTAAGTGACAAATAGAAAGCGATTATCGTTTCAATTTTCCATTTTTCTTTTTATAGGATGTTGGACGATTTTTTTTGTTGCAATTATCCATTAATTAAATTTTTCTTATAAAATAGTATAGTAAGAAAGAAATCACATTCTGAGAAATCAGGCCATCCCAGGTGGGATTCGAACTCACGACCCTTGGATTAAAAGTCCAACGCGCTAGCGATTGCGCTGCACGGGTACAATGAGCGAATTTCCTTTCTGTATATTCTCTCTGTTCGACTATTATTTTTATTTGTTACTATCTATAATTAATATAACTAATGAATTAATATTTGAAAAACTGTATTAACATCAAGTGTCATCCACTACAAGTTTAAACAATGTATTTGAATTTGAATGGATGGATAGAAAGTATTTTAATAATGATTGAAAATTTGAACAAGATACATATATATATATATAGGGAGGGAGTGAATCAATAGTATATAAATTGAAAAATGGAAATTTGATAGAAATCATAATATTTGGCTTTTGTGTTGAATCGATAAACATTTAAATGTTATCTATTATTTGATAAAATGTAGAGATTGCATGGCATATTTATATATATTTATCAGCCGTAATTTTATATCTATATTTTCAATAGAATTATATATCAACATAATATTAAATAGAACTTAAGTGCCTATCACATTTATAACTTTTTTTAATTTACAAAACAATTTTTTATCAAAAGTTGTTTTGTTAAAATGAATTAAATATCTCCATTGAGGATATTAATAATTAAATTTATAAAAATTATACCATATTGAAAAATGTGTTATGTAAGGTAAAAAGAGCTATTTGAAAAAGAAAACAATCATTGTTAGTCGTTGATGTGAAATTCATTTAACTTACGTTTTAATAGAACATTTAAGAGAATACACACAAATATTGTATTCTAAATATTATAAAAATGTGAGTTGTTATATAAATATATCTAGTTATACTTGATACCTTTTGGTTGAGTAAGAACCAATTAAAATAGTGGAAATAGTAACAGCTTAAAAATATTTGTATACTTAGTTTATAGTAGCAGTAAGGCAAAAACTGTATCTGTTTCATTGACAATTCGATTCTTATGTAAACTTTATGAATTAAAAAAAATTATCATTATTTCTTAATAATTTTAGCAACTATTTCAAGTAGTGTATTTTGTTAATCAAAAGTTAATCAAAAAAGTATTGAAGTGACTTTTATATACAAGAACAAGCAAAACCAGTTTTATTCATTAGTCTAAACATTAAATGCCAGATTAAAGCATTTATAGTATTATTGGTATAGACGTTTTTCAAGAAAGCCCGAAACTTTAGTTCTCAGCCTTATAATATTTTGACGATGATTATTCTTTCACTGGGCCACAGAAATGGAATATTTTCAAAAGTTCTTGGTTTTTAAGACACTGAAGAATGTTTACTTTGTATAATGTGTGCTTCATTTAAATATTATAAATACACTGTTGGGGCCTCCATAAATGCAACACCAAGAAAGACAAGAGATAGCACAACAAAATTTATTTTGCAGATAACATGTTGACCAAGTATCA